TGTAGATCTGCTTGGCGGTGGACGCGCCGTAGTTGGTGATGTTGGGGAACACCTTGGACTGGAACGGGTACGAGTTGGTGTCGGACACGTGCCAGTGGAACGTGTTGAGCTTGTTGCCCCCCATGGTGCGGATGATGCGCTTGAGCGACTCGACCGAGTAAAAGTTGCGCGACGTGTCGATCGTGATGCCGCGGTTCTTGTACGCGGGGCTGTCCTTGATGGTCACCTTGGTCACGAGACGCACCGTGTTGGAGAACTCGTCGAACTCGGTCAGTTGCGCCAGCGTCGTCAGCGCGTTGCGGTACCCGAACACGGTGGCGGCGTTGATCGTGACCTTGATCCCGTCCACGCTCAAGTCGTACGACTCGTCCGTGTTCAGGTCGAGCACTTCGCTGGCGCTCTTGATGTTGGCCGTGATCTCAATGTCCTTGCCGTTGCCTTGGGCGCCCTTGTAGCGCAGCGCTTGGTGGAAGTTGGTCTTGAACGACGACACCAAAGGAGACGCGTCGTACGCGGCCTTGCCATTGAACACGATGCGGTGGTTGGCGCTCTCCGTGCTGATGGCGACGGTCTCCGTGCCGACAGACACGGAGTCAGGTTGCGGCCACAGGCTGCCCTGGCCACCGCACGTCAATTCGCAGATGGCGAGGCTCGTGGTACCGGCCACGTTGTTGGACGTCAGCGGCTGCAGCTTGCAGTTGTTCTTGACGCAAGTGTAGCGATGTTGGCGCACGTCGGCCGTGGCGACCGCGGCGAGGGAAGCAATCAAGAAGGCGGCTTTCATGGTGAGATGCACAAAGCAAATTGAAGAATGAGTTCCGAGTGTCGTTGCGACTTTCGTAAATTGCATAGATGAGGCTAATACCGTGAGTTGTCTGATGATGATGCTTGATCTTTGTGGAGTTGAATATGATTAACATGTGTGGCGGAACTCGACCACATCCGTGTTCTTATTGGTTCTCCTCGAAAAAGCAGTTGCTTGTACCACTAGTTGAGTAGTTATATGCAATCTGCGGCCTGCTCATTTGTATACAACTTGATGCAACCATATTTATGTTGAAGCACCCAACTTAATAATATCTCTGACCTAGAGGTCCTTTTGATGCTTACACTAGTGGCTGTCATGGCGGTCAAGTAAGTCGCCTTGGGCATCTCCTAGTCGGATTCGTGGACACGTTGAGGAACGAATGTTCTTGGATTTGAATTCATGTCGCGGGCCGAAATAGTTGGACGTATTTTTGTCTTGTATTGTGCCGGGGACTTGTATAAGGAGAATTCCCTGGTTAATACAGTTGATTTGACCCAAAACACTAATTTAATAAGGGGATTACTGTATGCCATCCGGAAACATTTTCTAGCCTGTAGCCCTGTAACCTGGGATTCCGTCCTACTCCCAGTGAGAGCATGTAATAACTAAATCCCGGGGTTAACTGCATCACCAGTGGTTAGCTACTAGTATCGCTAACCACTGATATGCACTTAACCCCTAGTAAGACGTGAGGTGTCAGAATATACTAAGTCCCATATAAACACCCAATTTGTACTGCTTTCTGAGAAATGAACTTTGGAACTTTTCTATCTAATCGGAGAATTGTACCTTGTGTAGTACTAGTACAGTACTATTAATAGTATTAATACGTACATATCATAATAACTCACTGGGTAAAAAGCTAAACATTCTAAGACGTGGTAATTGCGTGATGTTGACTTCTCGGGTACTAACTAGTACAGTACACACATGCCGTGGTCAACAACGTACTGCACTCATGTCAATGTACCTCGAAATTGTTGGCCTCGCACTTCTTTACTACGTTGGACATCGACGACGGAACTATTTGGCGCGATTTCACACCAATTCGTGAACACTTTCGGGATGTCGTGAAGGTACTGGCACATACCTGTACTGTACTAGTACCAATGGCAACTGCAATCACATGGTTGAATGGACAATGATGCCCTAGCAGCAGATGACAAGGTTCACGATGTCAAAACGTCGAAACCAACTTATCATGCCATGGCGGTCGACCTAGGGCTTCCACAAAATAACGAGGAAAGCAGGCTCGTGAAGCTACAACCTAACGGAGTTGTATACGTAACTACACATTCCAAAGCCAAAGGGTCACGCTTGGCTGGTTACACTGTGAACTACCGATCCCACTGTATCACATTTTTGCATATTTGTCTCACGTTGAAGTACACGCGGGCTTTGAATTTCACTAGTTGCACATGCAACTTGTACAGACAGATGCAATCGGGGAAATTGTGAGATATATCCAAGCATCATCAGGCCACTCACGGCGATGTAGCCTCATCTATGCAGGCACTATCTATGCACTCTGCACTTCACTTGACCACCTCGCAAGTCGCAACGATAATCGGAACTCATTCTTCAATTTGCTCTGTGCATCTCACCATGAAAGCCGCCTTCTTGATTGCTTCCCTCGCCGCGGTCGCCACGGCCGACGTGCGCCAACATCGCTACACTTGCGTCAAGAACAACTGCAAGCTGCAGCCGCTGACGTCCAACAACGTGGCCGGTACCACGAGCCTCGCCATCTGCGAATTGACGTGCGGTGGCCAGGGCAGCCTGTGGCCGCAACCTGACTCCGTATCTGTCGGCACGGAGACCATCGCCATCAGCACGGAGAGCGCCAACCACCGCATCGTGTTCAATGGCAAGGCCGCGTACGACGCGTCTCCTTTGGTGTCGTCGTTCAAGACCAACTTCCACCAAGCGCTGCGCTACAAGGGCGCCCAAGGCAACGGCAAGGACATTGAGATCACGGCCAACATCAAGAGCGCCAGCGAAGTGCTCGACCTGAACACGGACGAGTCGTACGACTTGAGCGTGGACGGGATCAAGGTCACGATCAACGCCGCCACCGTGTTCGGGTACCGCAACGCGCTGACGACGCTGGCGCAACTGACCGAGTTCGACGAGTTCTCCAACACGGTGCGTCTCGTGACCAAGGTGACCATCAAGGACAGCCCCGCGTACAAGAACCGCGGCATCACGATCGACACGTCGCGCAACTTTTACTCGGTCGAGTCGCTCAAGCGCATCATCCGCACCATGGGGGGCAACAAGCTCAACACGTTCCACTGGCACGTGTCCGACACCAACTCGTACCCGTTCCAGTCCAAGGTGTTCCCCAACATCACCAACTACGGCGCGTCCACCGCCAAGCAGATCTACACCCACGACGAGATCCGCGACATTGTCAAGTACGCCAAGGGCTTTGGCGTGCGCGTGGTGCCCGAGCTGGACGCGCCTGCGCACGTCGGTGCTGGCTG